GATTTTCTATTCTTTTCTTAATAATAAAATGATTATAAACTATTTTTTTGGCAAAACGAACATTTCTGCAAATCCATTTTAGATAAAAGTTTTGAAAAGAACTTTTAATAGCAGATAAATTATGGATAGAACAGAGTAAACTACCACCTCTAGTGGAAATAAGTATATTTGAACATAACTCTATGTTGCAGGAGTCTAGTAGTAACATTAAAAAAATCATTCTTTAATAGTAAATATTCTAGGTAACATTTTTCCAATAATGGCACAGTAATGAAGCAGTAAGTAGCACTGCTGACTTGCAGGAAGAAGGTTCCAGGTTCGATTCCTGGCCCGGAGTCTTTCTGCATGGAGTTTGCATGTTCTCCCTGTGCATGCATGAGTTCTCTCCAGGTACTCCGGCTTCCTCCCAGAGTCCAAAAACATGACTGTTAGGTTAATTGGCTTCTCTAAATTCTCCTTAGGTGTGAGTGTGAATGGTTGTTTGTCTCTGTGTTGCAAGGTCCAAGGTGGACCCTCCTCTCACACATAGACAGCTGGACATAGGCACCAGCACCCCCAGCGACCCCAGCAGGGATAAAGCGTGTCAGAAAATGGATGGATGGATATTTGGCATTAATGATTACAGGTATTTAGCTGCGCGGCCATGATGGGGTTTGTTAGCTCTTTTGATCGGCAACATTATAAACTCTTTTAATACTGATCAATGATTTTACTAAAGGCCAGAAAAAGTCGTGGTTATTGATTTTTTTTTTTTACTTGTAAATGAAAAACAGCTTTTTCTTAGAATTTCATTATAATCTAATTTAGAATTTATTTACAAAAGCCTCTAAGTGGATAAAAAGAAAAAAACTATTTTCCTACCAAATCTAAGTGAGTCGGCGGAAATATCTTAACTAAACAAAAATTCACAAATATTCATTCATTTGTTTTTTTGGGAGAATTTTGGCTGATGAATTCAAACAGAAGATTTTTTCTCTTCTCATTTTTAAGTTGATAAAGGTCCACAATGCCAGACTTATTTTTCTTTGCTTTTATCAACTTCTTTCCTTAATAATAACTGCATTCATATTTAACTGCCGGAATCACAAAACTGCAGGTATGCAGCAGAAACATTAATTAAATAGTTTTTTAATTAAACTGAGCTTGATTGAGTTTATTGTGTATTTATTTTAGAGATGTTTTAGTTACAAAATAGAAATAAATACATTTGCCACTTGACCTAAAGACCGTTTCTCTTAAAGATGGACTGTTCTGGGTTTAAGTTTGAAATTAAGCTAGATTTAAAGTTGTCTAAAAGATGTATTAAAATGAATAAATATTATAAGTATGATTTTATAATCAATTTATCTTGTATCTAGTTTTAAAATCAATCAATCCATTGCATTATGCAGCACTGCATGATTAAATGATTTATCATTTAGGAAAATCAAGAATCAAACGTTTTTCCAGACCTGATTTATTTATTTCTGTACTCTCATCCAGACACGGGAAATAATAATAATAATAATAATAATAATAATAATAATAATAATAATAATAATAATAATAATAATAATAATAATAATAATAATATTAATAATAATAATAATAATAATAATAATAATAATAATAATAATAATAATAATAATAATAATAAAGAAAAAAAGAAAGAAAACCCAAGCTTTTATGTCAGACTTTTGAAATCATATTATCTTACATGGCGTATTAGTTAGAAGGGTTTTTGGAAGATGTTTATTTTTAGTCAGGCATAAGAGTTATAATGTTAGATGAGCTAAAAAAGCAAGAAGAAAATAAACCCCTGCTGTTCAATGTACATGACGATTAAAGTTAATAATACTTTTAGCCAATTTTAATTGCATATTTGGGAAAACAAATAGTATCATTAATTAATTCTTGATTCTTCCGTATTTTTCAGCCTGTTCTGTAGCTCATCTTTCCACAGTGATGTTCAGTACCAACAAACCCTCACAGATTATAATCTGGCTGCCTGCAGGTGATGCTAATTACTGCAGATGGCGGTTTGTCCACAAAGACAACAGTCCCAGCGTGAATGCTCTTCATAGTGTCTCCATCATAGAAGCAGAGCTATTAGATGAGCCCAATCTTTCTGGGTCTGTTTTTTTTATCTCCAGTGCTGTGGTGACATTTGGGTCACAGGCAGCGTATGTTTCTCCGTAATATTTCAGGAAGTTGTGCATTATCTACAGCTCCCAGTAGTCTCTGCTCCCAAACACAATTTCCCAGTAATATTGTCCTGCCCCAAACTCTCCAGCACTGCATGCAGTGTGTAAGTCCACTCTAGGTTTAGTGTTAGTGGGGTTTGTGTTGTTGCCAAAAAGTCCAGGAGCAGATCCTACATATAGTGAGGAATCAAAAGCTGAAGTTGAACCGAAGGAGAACGCTGGGCTGAGGAGGAACCAAAGTTAAATCCTCAGGCTTGGTTGGTTCTGGGTTAAAAGAACAAACTTCTCCCATCATCAGCTACAACCACATCCTAACTGTTGGAGCTCTGCACATGGATGCACGACCCAAAACATCTCCTTCCACACAAAGAACTGCAGGTGGCTTCCATAGGACTCCAGGGAGAGTGAAGATTTTACCAGCTGGAGCTCATTCCCTCTGGGCCTGAACATGTCTTCTGGAGCCCCGGTTTTCTTCTCCTCTGTCCAGCCCCGCTGTCCTTCATGTCTTCACCATCTCTGCATATGGAGCCTAGGCGGAAGTTCAAATGAAGATGATCATGAACAGGAGCAAAGAACGGGGCTGTTTCCCCCCAGGCCTGAAACTGGTGGTGGAGTGGAGATAGATGGAGTTGGTCAGTCTGTAGACTGCTGGTTGGAGAGACGGTCTGCTGAGCTTTATGGGGAGATCCAGTGGACTGCGTGAGCTGATACTAGAGCTTCACTCAGGGACCTGGAAGATGGAAGTCCAGCTGGATAACACAGGTTGAGAGAACCTGTCCATGATGAGCAAGCATGAAGCGACAGTGGAGAGGAAAAACTCCCCGTTCAGAAGAAACCTCTGGCAGAGCCAGGCTCAACATGGCGGCCTTCTGCCGGACCGGTTAAGATGGGACAGGGAACGCAGTAAGAGTCCAGGAGGAATGACGCTCTGACGAAGCTTTAGCTACGATGGTGGAGGAGGGGCTGGAGGGGGGTTGAAACGGGGTCATCTGAATGAATTCACAGCGCATCCGCCGCCTGCCCACAGGAGCAGACAGGTGCGTATCGGAGGCCTTTTAAGATGAGCTTTGGATGCCGATTGGCTTTCGTGGATTTGTGGTTCAAAGCTGATTGGCTGTGACGCAGGTGGATGAAGGAAAGCAACAAGTTTCTTCATTTGAATTCCTGCCTAGGCTCCATATTAGCCCACTATCAAAAAAATAATTAGGCTTAAATACATAAAAAGCATTCATGATTAAATATTTATTTTCCCTGCTGCACATCCTAGAGAAAACGACACCATTTGACTAATCTGCTGCATGATATACTTAAAGTTTAATCTCCATGAAATTCATCAGATTTTTGGTCTAATCTGTATTTTGAGGACTTAATATATGAAATATGCATACTAAAAGAAATACACTGAAAGAAATAATGCAACTGTTTTTGGCATTTTCATATTTTGTTATTTTAACACAATTGATTCATGTTAGCAGGGTAGGACATAAAACAATTGTGTTAAAGTAACTAAATATGATTAAGTAAATGCCAAAAGCGGTTGCATTTTTTTTTCAGTGTAGGACTCCTGTAATTTCAAAATCCACATGGAAATATGATGCAGTTCACTTCAGACCACGGGAAAGGTGCAATCCTCTTTTTCCCCTCCTTATCTGGGGATCAGTGCAATAAAATGCAGCCTGCAACAGCAGCCTTTTGATACGATTATGCTATGTGAATGAAAATAAGCCAGACAAAAACAAAAATCATTTTTTTCCCATTTGCCTTTGCTTTGAAAAAGCTCCAGTGAGCTGCAGAGTGGTAAAGAGCCGGATGCAGCTCTGTAGCTGCGAGTTTCTGACCACCGAGCTAACGTCTACCTGCTTCACTGTAGTTAATTTGGCATCAGTCCACTGCTCTGTTAATCCTCTGATATCCGGCTGAAGTCAAATATTTCCGTTTCAGAACCGTCTCTGAGGCCTTGCTGACGTCAGACGCGCTGCTTTTCCTGCATTCTTAATTCAATTCTTCTTGCTCCTTTCTCAACCTTTGCTCCCAGCCTGAGCGTCACTGAGAGCTGTTGTCACAGTATATTCCTTTTCAAAGGCTTTTCAAAATGAGGCTTGCTGGCAGACTTGCTGCTTCTGATATAACAGCTGTTCCACACTCTGGACACTGCTGCAGTGAAAGCAGCACTCCTGCAATATACTGGCTGCAGAAGGAGTGTCCACAGGGGAGGTTGACTGGATCAGTAAAGATGTTCAGACAGACAGAGCAGGTCAGATACTCCAAGTATGAAACAGACGCCACAGCTGCTGCTCTTCTCTTCGCCTGTTCTGCCAGAGAAAGGCTTGGCAGCTTTAACTTCCTGATTAACCACACCCATATTGATTCATATTTAGGATTTTATGACTGAAATGTTGAGGAATTTCAAAATCTTGTTCAACATAAAGATGCATTATATTATTATTGTTATTAAAATGTATATGCAAATAGTATCAAAGATGTTTTTATTTCATCAGATCACAGCATTAGACTCCTTTGCAACATAGCATTATATCACCAGCATGCAGTACCACCCTCATAATATCAGTGTGCAACATTCACCAAATAAAGGACTGTGTTAGGATTCCAGTTTGTGTGGGTTGTTTTTGTGTTTTCTTTTGTTCTCCCTTTCCACCATTAGAGGGTGCCCTCTCCTCATTTGGGCCTCCTCGCACACCTGCAGCTCGTTGGGTCATCACCAGAGGAGTATTTCAGCAGCGGGCTGTCACTACCTCAATGCCAGAGTGTTTGCCAGCATTGGGTACTCTAGCTAAACTGAGTTTAGCTGAGGCAAATTATTGCCTTGTCTCTCTGAGTCTAACCTTTGCCTTCGCCGTTGTTCTCCGGTAGGATGCCTTCCTGATCCACTGGATAAGCCTGGACCTTCTACCCCCCCTGGAAGGTTTTATTTAAGTCACATTGAGCAAGGGGAAACCTCCACCAGATCCGTTCAAGTCTGCTTCAGGAAAACCCGGTGACAGTCCGCTCCATTGCTCCTCTGGACCCAACGGTAGTCTGCCTGTCCGCCCTCAAATGAGTTCATTCATCTCTGGATAAAATCCCACAAACTGGATCCTAAGGAATACCAAGAGCCCCCCAAACGTGAGTCCCATTCCTGCATATTATAAGTCTCAGTCATATTTCCTATGGGCCTTGAACTGATCATAGTGATCTCCCCTTCAGAGTTTCCGGTTCACCAGTCCGCTGAGGTTCAACTGAGTTTACCCTGCTGTATAACCTCTCACTCTGTTTTTGTTAACCTACAAATAAACCAGTTAACTTTTACCCTTGGTTTTCTGAGTGTGTCTCTGCATGTTGGTTAGAACCTTAAATCCCATCATGACAGATTGTTCGGAGACCAGTGATGGTGACTAATATATTCCAATTCAGAACTGTTTAACTTGAACAAGGTAGTCATAGGCCTAAACCCCAATGAAGACAGTCTGTTTGCCGAACTTATCACCATTATCTAACTGCAATAACTGGTTTTAGGACAACGCTGTTAATCCTTTTTTAGTTCGTTTCACTAACCTGCCTAACTCTGCCCGATTTGTAATTATCACCCATCCTATCCACTTCCACCTGCTGCTTCATATACGTCTCAGCCCAGCTATCAGGGCCAGATTATTGTTTTGATGTATGTTGTATGTTTGTTTTGTTTGTTTGAGTTATTTCCAAGGTTCATGTCCTCGTTTCCTTGAGGCCAGTGGGTTGAGTGGGTTTGGTATTTGTCTTGTCTCCTGATCGTGTCCTGGCTCCTAGGTGGAGACTAGTTTAAAGTATTGTGGATTCCCTGGTACCATGTCTTGTCTCTGTCCCTCAACCACTGAGCCTGCCTGTCTCCATCTTAGTGTGACTGCCTGAGCTTTCTGCTGGACTCATGGAGCTCTGAACCAGCCTTCACCCAACCCCCCCCCCCCCCCCCCCCCCCACCCACCCCCCACCCACCCCCCCAATAAATGAGGGCATTTATTGATTTACTTTACTCAGGAATTAAAAGATTTCATGACAAAAGATAGAATAGTTTAGATTTAATGTTTTAATTCCACATTCTTACAACAGCAACCAATACAGATTAATAACAGATTATTTTATGTGATAATTTCAGACAAAGAGTTTTCCTCCAAATTTAGCTCATAAACTGAAAAATAGTTTTCAGGCTCAGTAATGCATAAATGCTTCTACTTTCCATAGGAATGGAAAAAAAATCAAAGGACTCACTATTTATCTACAGCAAAGCTGAGGCAATGCATGCATTAATTTTAACTCCAGATCATCACAAAACCACAGAAAAAATAAAAATAAAAGATTGAGAAGAGAAGTATACATTTTATTTTATTTAATTTGCCTGCTAACAGAGTTTTATTTTTTTTTTTTTTTGCTTTCAGTCTCAGAACATTGACGCAAACCTTAATAGGAAAATTTAGGCTTTATTTACATATAATGCATTTTTACATGATTTTGCTCTTTAATGAAAAACAATCTCTCCCAAGCAGCCTGGCTCTATGTGAAAATGAAACTGACCCCTAAACCACTTCCTTTGTCACCATTAGAGGAAACAACAGTCTTTGAATGTTTGCTTTTGGTGGTAAGGCTCTTGCATGAGGAGATTTTATCCTACTCTTGCACGGCTGTTAATGCCTTAAAAGTGTTTCATATTGTCTACATCAAAGAACTGGAGCTGATTGGTGATGCTGTTAAAATAAATGCCAATTGTTTCAGGTCTATTTTCAAAGTTCAGGTACTCAGTTCTATTATTAGTTTTTTTGGTGTATTTGTCATTAATAAATGTCAAAGAATGATTTTGTATATGTATTGTCCAACTGCTCTTATCCTTAACATCTATCTCCCAGTAATTTGGCCCTCGCTCTATCTTATCTATTCTAAGGTAATAGTCGTTTTGACCTGGGTTACAGTATTTCTGGTATTGAGACAGTAAGCTGGTGTAGTTATGATGACAGTCACATATAGAATACCTTTGTCCATAACCACTTGACTGATTGTAGCTACAGCTTCGTTGTCGCCCAACAGGTGGATCTTCTCTCTTTAAAGAAAGCTTCTTTGCTTTAGGCTGGATCAACTGAAGCATTTCTTTCCACATAAAGAGCTGAAGGTGGCTCTCATAGAGTCCCAATGACAAAGACGAATTCACCACCTGGAGATTTAAGGGATTTTGAGCTTTCATACTGTTGTCACCTGACCAACACTTCAGTAAAATCTCAGGCTCTGTAATCTCCAGAATAGCTTTCATCTTTTCCCCCAGCTCCAACCCGTCCCTCATCTTCTTAAGCTCATCAGCCTCTTTTTGATTTAGTTCATTCATTATTTCATCTTCTCTCCTTCTCAGGAACTGGTGCATCTCCTGGAACTGACCACTGATCTGGGTCCTCAGCTGCTGAGACTTTTCTTCGGTTTTTCTTATTTCTTCATTCTGTGACTTGGCAAGATTTTCTATCTTGCTGAAATCATGGAAATCTTTTCCCAAAAATGCCTCTACCTCCTTTCTGATTGATGCAGCAGCTTCTTTGATTGGTTTAAACTTGTGTCCTTGATGTTTTTCACAATCCCTGCATATGAGACACGTTAGCTGCTGATCGGTGACGCAGAACAGCTTCAGCCTTTCGTCGTGTTCAGAGCAAAACCCCACAGGAGCCTTTAAAGTCAATAAAACAATCAACAGTCAAAAACATTTACCTCTAGCCTCTGGTTAACTGCAACGTCGGCTATTAAAAATCATAAATAATCAAAACCTTACCTCAGAGTGTTTCCCAGATTCCTTGTCTTGTTTTGCTTTTTCAGAAAGATTTTTTAAGATGTGATTTGTTGTGAAATCCATCCGGTCTGTAGGAACAGTCGTCCTACATTCTGGACACTGATTCAGTGATTTCAGAGAAAGTGTGATGCATTCTCTGCAGAAAGAATGTCCACAGGAAAGGGTCACCGGATCCGTGAAGATACTCAGACAGACTGAACATGTCAGATCTTTAGATAAAGAGCAGGATGCCATACTTCTCTCTGCTTTTCTCTGCTTCTCTCCTCTCTGCTTCGATCTGCTGGTTTCTGTGCTTTCAGGAGATAACTTTTATTATCTGGAACAGCTCCACCCTGTCCAATGTTCCATCGACCTCTGCGAGTTTCATTTCTGCTGAAGTCCCAGTTTCTGCTGTAAACCTTCTATCTTCATGGAAACCGATGTAGAAAGAAGAAAAAAAAAGCTTTCCCATAATTTGAAATGTTTAAAAAATATATATAAAAAAACAAGGCCATTCTACACATTTGTTACCAGATCAAAAATAGAAATATTTAATAAAATGTCTTTAAATTAAATGTTTCTCCAAAAATCTTTATGTATGTCAGTTGTATAATATCAAAGGTACACACTCTAGTATTTTTACATTTTGATGATCATTTTTTGGTTTCATACAGTTTTAGAATATTATCCCTCTAACAAAGTCACTACAGAAACACAATGAAATATCACATGAAATAAAGGTTTATATTGATCAATTAAAGTAGTAGTAGTAAAGTAATTCTGATTCTGATTACACTTATTTGACATCTACCTGGTATATATTTCATTTCTTTCTTTATTTATGGGTATGATAAAAAATAAATAATTTTAACAAACTTTTTAAGCCAGATTTTTAAGAATCATTGTAATGCAAAATTTCTAAAGTTGTTCACAATGATAACATAATTAAGGATTAATTATTATTTAGTGCTTTCTTTCCATCTCGTTCCTTCAACCCACAGTTTTTATTTCATTTCTGCAGTAAGTCTTTTATGAGTGTGTGCCATTAAATGTGTATCACTGGTTAAAAAGATGAGAACATCTGCTGCAGAAAAGTCTACAGTACGTTAATCCGGAAATTATTTAATTTCAAGATTCAACACATTTGTTTCTTCACATTCCTTGATGGCTGTTATATGTGTGCTCTCAAAAACATAGTGGTGTTCAAACAACGTAAGAAAGGGGAGTTTCCATTTTGTAATTAATGAAACAATCATTAAATTCAATTGAGTGTATTTCTATAGCTCCAATTCACAACATGTCATCTTTGGTCAGGTCATACTGATTCAAAGTTTTCTATCTAAGGAAAACCAGCTGATTGCATCGACTCATTGACTCTTCAGCAATCCCTCACACTAAGCATGCTAGTAGCGACAGTGGAGAGGAAAAACTCCCTTTGAACAGGAAGAAACCTCCAGCAGAACCAGGCTCAGTGTGAGCGGCCATCTGCTGAGGCCCACTGGGGTTCAAGGAGACAGAAGCAGACATAGAAAAAGAAGCATAGATACAAAAGGCAACTGTCAACCAGCTCCACAGGCGGCCCCGTCCAGGAAACACACAGCCAGGCAGACGAGCTCCGAGCCAGCTCCCATGTCAGAGGATGAAGAGAGCACATCCAGTTAGTCACAGTCAGAGAAACAGGACTACACTGGAAAACAGGCCAAGCTCCAACATCTAGAAACAAAGGTGTTGATGGCAGCAGCACAGCTGATATTTCTCTCCAGGATGGAGTCACAGCCAAACAGGAACAGACCAGATGAAGCTACTATGAGAAAAAGCAGAGAGAGCAGAACGTTAGAGATTGAACTAACAGATTCTGCAGAGTGGGAGAATAGAGATAGAATGAAGCAGAATGATAGTTTCAAGGTGTTTGCTTTATTGTATATCTCATACCATGTCTTTTGGTTGTGCTGTTCTTTTTTTTTTCATCTCATTGCAGGTGATAAGGCAGACTGAAAATGTTTTATCATTGTCTCCTTCCTATCTCCTCTATCTTTCATCTTTTGTCCTTTTTTTTTCTTTTTCTTTTTCCTTCTTCTTCTTCTTCTGTTTTTCTGCTCTACTTACATTGCACTGTCCATATGAACTGTAAAACTCCCTGCATAATTATAATAAAGCAATTTGTATACATGAAACAAGTGGAGCAGTATGGCAATTGCGATACCGCTACACTTGTGAAAGTAAAATCTGTTGGGCTCCTTTTGGCATCAAGACAATTATTCTTATTGCCACCTTGCCAGACAGGACACTGTTAAAAAAAGAAAAAAAAAAAAAAAAAAATGAAGCAGAATGATGAAAAGGGGTCCCCTATGTCCTCCAGCAGTCTAACCCTATAGCAGCATAACTATAGAGATAGCTCAGGATAACCTGAGCCACTCTAACTAGAAGCTTTATCAAAAAGGAAAGTTTTAAGCCTAGCCTTAAAAGTAGACAGGGTGTCTGCCTCACGGACTAAAACTGGTAGTTGGTTCCACAGGAGAGGAGCCTGAGAACTAAAAGATCTGCCTCCCATTCTACTTTTAGAAATTCTAGGAACCACTAGTAAACCTGCAGATTGAGAGCGAAGTGCTCTGTTAGGAACATCAGGAACAATCAGATCTCTGATATCAGATGGAGCTTGGCCATTTAAGGCTTTATATGTGAGAAGGAGGATTTTAAATTCTATTCTGGATTTAACAGGAAGCCAATGAAGAGAAGCCAGGATAGGAGAGATATGATCTCTCTTTTTAATTTTCATCAGAACTCTGGCTGCAGCATTTTGGATCAGCTGAAGGCTTTTAACTACAGTTTGTGGACTTCCTGATAGTAAAGAATTACAATAGTCCAGCCTTGAAGTAACAAATGAATGGACTAGTTTCTCAGCATCACCCCTGGACAGGAGATTGCTCATTTTTGCAATATTCCTCAGATGAAAGAAGGGAATTCTAGAAACCTCTTTGATATGGGATTTAAATGACAGGTCCTGATCAAAAATAACACCAAGATTTTTTACTTTATTATCTGAAATCAGTTTAATCCCATCCAAATGAAGTGACTGGCTAATCAGCTTCTTTTTCAGAGACTCTGGTCCAAAGACTATAACTTCTGTTTTGTCTGCATTCAGAAGCAGAAAGTTAAGAGTCATCCAGATGTTTCTGTCTTCAGACATGCCTGTAATCTATGTTATAAAATATCATGTTAATGTTTAAACATCATCACGTTTCCCTCGTGACAATTTTATATAACATTGAGCCTAGAGGCCAATCAGCACATAGGTAGCTAACTCTTTTCTTAACTCTTGTACGGTTATAAAAAACTTAGTGTAAGTCTAGAAAATAAGTGTTTGAATAAAAATTACACACTGGTTTTCAGAGTTTTTAATGCCTTTTCTTCAAAATGATGAGACCTAGCTGCTCACCATTCATCCAAAACATGAGACTAAAAAATAGACACAGTAAACGTTGCAGTATAATAAATCAACAAATTAATAATTAACTAATTCATAGTGGGACTATGTACTCTTGAGTACACTTCAACACTGCAACATTTACTGAGTAGGAGTGGCTTAAATCAGTCTTAACATTTCATCAGTGGTGGATTTAGGAAATGTGGGGCCCTAGGCAAAGACAGGCAGGGGGCCCTCTGATTGAGAAGACAAGACATAAAACAGACCCATTCACAACGAAGGGCATATATGAAAAAAAATTAATTTATTTCAGACAATTTAAAGAACACATCGTCTCCAGTCTGCCGCCAACATTCCACCCGTTCCAGTTCGCCTACCGATGCAACCGCTCCATTGAGGACGCCATCTCTGCTGCTCTCCACCTGAGCCTGGCACACCTGGAGGAGAAGAACACCCACATGCGGATGCTGTTCCTGGACTTCAGTTCCGCTTTCAACACCATCATCCCACAGCATCTGATGGGCAAACTGGAACAGCTGGGCTTCAATACACCCCTCTGCTATTGGCTGCTAGACTTCCTCACCAACAGACCTCAGTCAGTCCGGGTCGGACAGAACGCCTCTGATGTCATCAGTCTAAGCCCCTCCCCTCAGGGTTGCGTCCTGAGCCCTCTGCCGTTCACCCTGATGACACACGACCGCGTCCCCAGGTTCACCACCGATCACATGGTGAAGTTTGCAGACGACACCACGGTGGTGGGCCTCATCAGAGACGACAACGACCTGGACTACAGAGAGGAGGTGGAGCAGCTGGTGGAGCAGAGATAACAGCCTGATCCTGAAGGTGGAGAAGACCAAGGAGATCATGGTGGACTTCAGGAAGAAGCGGCCTAACCACGCTCCACTGCTCATCAACAGCTCAGCTGTAGAGGTGGTCAGCAAGGCAAGGCAAATTTATTTGTATAGCACAATTCAGTACAAAGACAATGCAAAGTACTTTACATGATTAACATATAGGATAATAAAACAGAATCAAAGCAAGAAGGAAAAAAATGCAGAGACAAAAAAATAATTTAAAAACAGTTAGACTAAAGAAAATAAAAAAGTTGAACTAATAATGTATCAGTTGTACTGTTTAACTAGAACAGCCGAAGGCAATCCTAAACAAATGTGTTTTTAGTCTTGATTTAAAGGAACTCAGCTTGGCCATTTAAGGCTTTAAGTGGAGCATAGGAACTAAATGCTGCTTCCCCATGTTTAGTTCTGGTTCTAGATATGCAGAGCAGGCTGGAGCCAGAAGACCTAAGTGGTCTGGAGGGTTGATATACTGATAGCAAGTCCCTGGGGCCCCACTCCCTAACAGTCGGCTTTATAACATCTCCAAATCTGAGAGGGAAACAATGGAGAGAGATATCGATTAATCCCTAGCCGCTGGAATAATCCGACCATCTTATTCTCCACTCGGAGCCGTGTTTTTCTTCGTCGGAGAGAAAGCCGGATCGCTGCGACCCTGTATTGATTACCGTGGGTTAAAACAAATAATCAAGAACAAATATCCGTTGCCTCTGTTAGCCTCTGCCTTTGAACCAGTTCAGGGTGCCACTGTATTCACCAAGCTAGACCTGAGAAATGCTTACCACCTTCTCAGAATCCGTGAAGGAGATGAAAGGAAAACAGCCTTCAAAACACCTCTAGGACATTTCGAGTACCTAGTTATGCCTTTTGGTCTGACTAATGCCCCTGCTTGTTTTCAGGCTCTGGTGAATGACGTTTTGAGAGATTTTTTGAAAGTTTTTGTGTTTGTCTACTTAGATGACATCTTGATTTACTCCAAGACTATCTCTGAGCATCAAAAACATGTCCGTTTGGTCCTGCAAAGACTTCTGGAAAACAAA